TCTGCAGCGTTTCTACTGCTGACTACTTGAGTGCGTACTAATGTCGTCTGTCTATTTCAGGCCATGCCGATATTAGGAGGAGGTAAGATTCAACATCTAGTGCTCTCGAAAGAGGGCGAAAAATCTCTGACGTCCGTGTCCAAGTTAAGCACATTAAAGTGTGCCTGGGTGGTCCTGAGAGTATGCTCTGGCTGCGAGCCAGTGCAAAATTCAAAATTAAGTTCCTGCCGAACTAAAAATGTGTTTGCAAGTCCGTCTCGGTGTATATGATCTTATGCAGTTGCGAGGGCCGTTAAAACACTTACCAAAGCAAAAACTATCTGTGTGTACACCCAGTGTGTCCATATGCTCCATAGCTTGTGAAGGACTCGAGAATGTGTGTGTGAAAAATTGTGTGTGTGTAAACCAGCGTGTGCGTGTGTGAGCTGTCGTGTGCGGGTGTGAGCATTTGTGTATGTGTGTGTGCCTGTTGTGTGTGTGTGTAAACTGTTGTGTGTGTGTGTGAGCTGTTGTGTGTGTGTGTGAGCTGTTGTGTGTGTGTGTGAGCTGTTGTGTGTGTGTGTGAGCTGTTGTGTGTGTGTGTGAGCTGTTGTGTGTGTGAGCTGTTGTGTACAGGTGTGAGCTGTTGTGTGTGTGAACTGTTGTGTGTGTGAACTTGTGTGTGTGAACTGTTGTGTGTGTGAGCTGTTGTGTGCGTAACAAACGCGCCACCTGGGCAAATTTCAAAATTTCTTACCAACTGAAAATATTAGGTGTGTCCCGCGCGCTCATATGACCTTATGCAGTTGCGAGCGCCGTAAAACCCCGTGCCAAAACAGTAAAAAAATTGTCATCAACACTGCGACTGTGTCCCCAGAGCCACCGGGCTCCCCTGTGATCAGCATGGGCAACGTCCTGACGTCCTCCATCACCGTCAACATTGAGCCCCCTGCGGAGAACAACGGTCAACCGGTCACTGAGTACACCTACCTGTACTACCCCGACGGAGACGCCGCCCAGACCAACAATGGACAGACAGGTGATGCGCTTTGGGGCTCGGCTCACTTCAGGGAGGGAGGGAGGGAGGGAGGGTAGGCGGGCGGTTGGTGGGTGTTGCTGCTCTGGTGTGGATTACTGCTCCCCTTTTTTTCCTAGAAAACATCTGTCATAATCGTATTTCATCCTTATCTCTCCTCCTTCTTTGGTGCGTTTGTTACTCTCTTGTAACACCTCGAGTTTTCAGCACTTTATGACCTGATTGTGTTGCAAGTGCTGTAAAACTTTGAATATACGGAAGGAAACGCTGTGGAAACAGTGGTCAGGGGGATGTCCGAAGGGTTGTGAAACTTCAGGGATAACCAACAACTCCCGCCGCCGCCCCCCCCCCCCCCCAAATCAAGAACTTCCTTATGTATGTCTACTTACTTTTACTTTTTCATCCTCTGTTGCCGTTAAGCGTCGAGGGGAGAGATGCAGTTTTCTATGGTGGCCTTCCTCTTCCTTTATAGCCTGAGTGCTTGGTGTTGTAGGCTCTCAAGGCTGGCTGGTCAGGTGACATGCGTAACAGGAGGCCAAACCGTTTTATCCTCTGTCTTTCTATGTAATGCAGGCAGGACTCAGTGCCGATAGCTGCTCTTACTTCTTCATTTCTCTGCCTGTCTCGTCTTGTGATGTTAAGGGTTTTGCAGAGACATTTCATTTTGCATGCGGTGATTTTGCTTTCATGGGTTTTGCTTAAGGTCCAGGTCTGGCTCTGATAACATAATGTTGGTATGAATATTGAGGTGATAAGCTGTCTCTTTGTGTCCATGGAGATGTTTGGATGAGATAGAACGGGTGCGAGCTGGTAGGTGACAGCGTTGGCTTTTTGAGTTCGCGTTTCTATGTCTCTGTCTATGGACCCGTTTTCAGAAAAAGTGCTGCCAAGATATTTAAACTCCTTCACCTGTTTCAGTTGTTTACTATTGACATGGATGTTCAGGGGACTATGGTTTCGGGTCACTTTCATAACTTCTGTTTTTGATGTGCTTATTTTCATGTACGTCATGGGATGAAATCAGGCACTCGTCAAAATGACGAAACAGGAAACCAACATTTTTCCGCTGTTGGGCAATCGTATCGATTTTAAGAATTTTTTTTTTGGGGTCAGATTGAACACCTTTGATGAGGTCTTTATGAAGAAGAATAACCTTTTGGTTGAAGGGATAGAACCTTCTGTTCTCTCGCTCTTATCTCCCATGTCGCTGTGGTCTGAGTGGGTGGTTGGAGGAAGCTGTGGTGTGGTTTGCTCCTTCTTTCCTATCAAACGTCTATCGTCCTCATCTCTCCTCCTTCTTTTTCGTGTTTGTTCGCTCTTGTAACACCTCTAATCTTTGGCTCTTTTAAATATGACCTTATTGTGTTGCAAGTGCCGTAAAGCTCTCACTAAAACTAAACTGTGGTCTGAACTGTGTCCTGTACGTTTTGTCCTGCAGCCCGTACGGGTGACAAGACGAAACTGGAACTGACTGGTCTGACCTCCAACACCCCGTACGTGGTCAAGGTGAAGGCCAAGAACAACGTAGGTGAAGGTGAAGAGGCCACGGTGACCATCCCCACCCTGAAAGTGAGCAAACCGTTCCGACTGACCATCAAGTCTCCCCAGATGAGCGAAAACGCTGACTCCTACCTCCTGGAGTGGGAGCAACCCGATGACGGCGGCTCGCCCATTAAGCACTTTAGCATCTCATACAGACAGGTATGTATAGTTATCTCATACGCACACAGACAGTTATCACAGACAGACAGATACAGACAGTCATCACATACAGACAGTCATCCCATACAGACAGTCATCACATACAGATAGGTTCGTACCCTCATCTTGTCATCATCTTCAGACAGATATGTACATTAATCTGGTCAGACATACAGATATGTACATTAATCTGGTCAGACATACAGATATGTACATTAATCTGGTCAGACATACAGATATGTACATTAATCTGGTCAGACATACAGATATGTACATTAATCTGGTCAGACATACAGATATGTACATTAATCTGGTCAGACATACCTGTACATTAGTCTGGTCAGACATACAGATATGTACATTAGTCTGGTCAGACATACAGATATGTACATTAGTCTGGTCAGACATACAGATATGTACATTAGTCTGGTCAGACATACAGACTGTACATTAGTCTGGTCAGACATACAGATTGTACATTAGTCTGGTCAGACATACAGCGCCGTAAAACACTTACCAAAAAAAAAGAAAAAGACGTACAGACAGGTACAACATACGCTCATCTAGTCATCACCAACAGACAGATTACGTACGTTGGCTGATCTGGTCAGACCTATGGACAAACGGTTATGCTAATCTGGTGATACCTCCTTTGCCCCCTCCTCTGGGCTCCTGACTCTTTCTGCAGCCTTTCTACTGCTACTCCTTGGCTCCTCCTTACAGCTGTCTTTCTGCCACAGCCCTGATCTTCTGGTAGGAAAGATCTCCACCTAGCCTTCCCGGACAAGGGCGAAAAATCTCAGAGGGCCCGTGGGCAAGTTGCGCACGTTAAAGATCCCTTGGTGGTCTAAAATCGATAAGAATAGGCTTCGGCCGCCACCCGGGCAAAATTCAAAATTTCCTACCAACTGAAAATATTAGGTGTGTCCCGCACGCTCATATGACCTATGCAGTTGCGAGTGCCGTAACACACTTTACAAAAACAAAAAAAATAATCTGGTGAAACTGGTGATATATATGCTAATCAAAGATGATAGATACGCTAACAAGGGGTGATATATTTGCTGACCAAGGTGTGTCATAGCTTGGCATAGGGTAGGTTCTGAATATCAAAGTTATTGGCCCAGATCATCAAAAGTATTGGTGCACAATAATAATAATCATAATAATAATAGTAGTAATAATAATAATAATAGTAATGACAAATAATAAGTGACGTCGGTGGCCTAGTGGTTAGGCTACCGGACTCGTAATCGTGAGATTGTGGGGTCGGGGGTTCGAGCCTCAGCTCGGTCCGGCGTTTTGTCCTTGGGAAAGACACTTTACACGAACTTCCCACTTGGCTCGGTCCTATCGGAGACGGACGTTAAACTAGGAGGTCCCGCCCCTTAAATAACCTAACAGGGTTGATAGGGGCGTTAAACCCATACCATTTTTTTCACAAATAATAAATAGCATTTGTATAGTGCATACCCTTGCTCAACAGCGAGCTCAATACTCTTTGTGTTTTACATTATATTGTTACCCCAAAGACTCTTTAGAAGTAGGGGGCTCTCGTGGCCTAGAGGTTAAGGTGTTGGCCTCTCATTCAAAAGGTCCCGGGTTCGAATCCGGGTAGCGACCGAAACATTTTCTTCCCTAAAATTGTCTCCTTTCACCTCCTTTCCTGCTCTCTAGCAATGTTCTGTTGTCTACTTTCGTTTCCACTTTCTGCCCCCACCCCCTCACCTCCTTTGCCCCCTCCTCTGGGCTCCTGACTCTTTCTGCAGCCTTTCTACTGCTACTTCTTGTCTCCTCCTAACTGCTGTCTTTCTGTCACACCCCTGATCTTCTGGTAGGAAAGATCTACACCTAGCCTTCTTGGACAAGGGCGAAAAATCTCGGATGGCCCGTGTGCAAGTTGGGCACGTTAAAGATCCCTTGGTGGTCTATAATCGATAGGAGCAGGCTTCGGCCGCCACCCGGGCAAAATTCAAAATTTCCTACCAACTGAAAATATTAGGTGTGTCCCGCGCGCTCATATGACCTTATGCAGTTGCGTGGGCCGTAAAAACACTTTACAAAAACAAACAAATCTTTAGAAGTATTCTCGGCTTCCCGGCGCTCAAACACTAACAGACAAGATCTTCCCGTGTCTAAATCGGGTATGTTAGCACGTGATGGTTTAGCACAGAAAGATGAGGAAAGAATTATCATTCTTCCCGTTTGTCTTCAGGTGAAGGTCAAGGGCACGGATGAGCCGGGGACATGGAAGATTGACGGCGACATCGACCTGGATCCCAAGCTGAAGGTGGTGCCTAACCCCAGCGCCCTGAGCACGCGGCTGGACGACCTTGACGCCAACGCCTTCTACGAGATCCGCCTGTGGGCCACCAACGAGGAGGGAGACTCGGAGCTCACCCAGGTGCTCATCAAGACAAGTGCAGGAGGTAAGTGCGGCTTTCACGTGACCTTTACCTTCCCGGGTCAGGAGCTACAGTTAGTAGCCGCAGGTCAGCGCGGACAGAAATGGGGTCGATGGAAATGTCGGGGTCAGTTTCGGGTTCCTTAGCTTGTTAAGCAATTTGGCGGGAACGGTTTGGTTTTTTTTCTCTCTGAATTTGATTTGGTTTCGAAATAAGCTAAGCGCAACTTGTAATGGAATGTGATGAGAAATTTGGAGGCATTGTTCCGATTCATAAATCAGTTGGGACAAAAATTTGTTCACCTCGATGCTTGTGACTTAGATAAAAAAATTGTAACTTAGAAGTTTTGAGTTGGTGAATGGTAGGTAAGGGAAAGACTGAGAGACAATCGGGGGGGAAAAGGAGTGAGTCTCCTCCTTTAAGAAGGAGAATGTTCTGTTGATTAATCTGAGAGAAGCTAGTTCAAGGTCCTTCTGTCAGTAGCATTGATTCAGGAACATAGTGTTTAGATAAAAAGCATTGATTCAAGAACGTAGTGTCTAGATAAAAAGCATTGATCAAGAACATATGATAGTGTTCTCACCAGAAGCATTGATTCAAGAACATATGATAGTGTTCTCACCAGAAGCATTGATTCAAGAACATATGATAGTGTTCTCACCAGAAGCATTGATTCAAGAACATAGTGTTCTCACCAGAAGCATTGATTCAAGAACATATGATAGTGTTCTCACCAGAAGCATTGATTCAAGAACATATGATAGTGTTTAGATAAAAAGCATTGATTCAAGAACGTAGTGTCTAGATAAAAAGCATTGATTCAAGAACATAGTATTCTCACCAGAAGCATTGATTAAAGAACATAATGTTCTCACCAGAAATACTGATTCAAGAAGTAGTGTTTAGATAAAAAGCATTGATTCAAGAACGTAGTGTTTAGATAAAAAGCATTGATTCAAGAACATAATGTTCTCACCAGAAATACTGATTCAAGAAGTAATGTTTCAGTTTAGGTTTATTTTTCTGTGTAGAGGTGAGGAAGTTGTAGGTAGGAAGGGAGGGTGCTGTCAGTTACTTGTGGTGGATGCAGACGATCCAGTGATCCGGTATCCGAAGCTCTTGAGCTAATTGGTCAGGGGAAATGTGTCATTTTAAATAACTTGACATTTTCGTGGCTTTTCCTAAACTGTTCGGGCGGGGTTATTAGATTGGAGTGTTACCTCTTTGATGTTCACAAAGTTGGACAATATGAAAAATGTAGAGAAGTTCTATTACAGACCCAGTAATGAAGAGAGTAAATTCTTTAGTCAGAAATGTATTTATTTTGGTAGTATATCTGGTGATCATTGATTGTAAGTAACGAACAAGTCCATTTTCTTTGTATAATCCTAATTCTGTTTATCATCTCTCAATTTATGCTCAGACATAAACATTGAATGAAGTAAAGTAGCCAGTCAAGAAATAAATCAAAACTCTTTGAATGATTTTTAATCTACCTGTCAATTCAATGCCTTTTTCTCATTCTCCTTTATCTGGAATTATAATATTATTTAGTCTAGATTTTGAATTGCACCGAAAAATGAAAAATATGTGGTCATGAATTGTAGACTTGGAAAATTAATATTGAATTTGTATTTATGATTTAAAGAGAAAAAGACACATTTTTCAACTTCCTGAAACATTATGAAACATTTTAGGAAATTCCTGTAATTTTTCCAAACTCTCGTTGAAACACTTTTCTGATCCGGTTCTTCTGTCTGGTGTTACTGAGTAAATCTTTTCTGTTAGCGACTTTGTGAAAAAAATTATTTTTTTTCAAAATGAGGTGACTTTGGCATTTTATTTAGCATGACGCGTCCCGATGATGAGCAAAGAGACATAGTGTGGTTGGTCAGTTTAAAACTTGTGTGAGTAAGTAAATTATATATACAGATAGAGAGCTTAGATAACTTTATCGGCTAGATCGTACAACTGTAGTTGCCGCGAGGTTTAACTATTCTTAGGTATACATGTACGGGGTGTTCTGAGACTTGGGGCCAACATAGCGGTGTCTGCAGAGTTTGAGGGAAAGTCTTCTTAGGCTTTTTGGTAACCCTTTCAGGACCATGGTGCAGGCAGTCTGGGTGGTGGTTTGAATCTCCGGTGAATCAATCAGTCTTGAACCTGTTTTAAAAATGACATCTAAAAGAAACTAGCAGTGCATGGTCCTGGAACTGTTTTAAAAGACGATATATATATATATAAATGGAACTGAAACCAAGCAGTACTTTAGGCTGTTATCGGAGAAAAATAGAGAAGTTCAGTAGTCATCTATCAAATGTAGAAGTTCAGTAGTCATTTGTCAAATGTACAAGTTCAGTAGTCGTCTATCACATGTAGAAGTTCAGTAGTCATCTATCAAATGTAGAAGTTCAGTAGTCATCTATCAAATGTAGAAGTTTAGTAGTCATCTATCACACAGAAGGTCAGTAGTCATCTATCACACAGAAGGTCAGTAGTCATCTATCAAATGTAGAAGTTCAGTAGTCATTTGTCAAATGTACAAGTTCAGTAATCGTCTATCACACAGAAGTTCAGTAGTCATTTGTCAAATGTACAAGTTCAGTAGTCGTCTATCACATGTAGAAGTTCAGTAGTCATCTATCAAATGTAGAAGTTCAGTAGTCATCTGTCAAATGTAGAAGTTTAGTAGTCATCTATCACACAGAAGGTCAGTAGTCATCTATCACACAGAAGTTCAGTAGTCATCTATCAAATGTAGAAGTTCAGTAGTCATTTGTCAAATGTACAAGTTCAGTAGTCGTCTATCACACAGAAGGTCAGTAGTCATCTGTCCATGTCCTTGCACCCTCTGTAACTACATTTTGACCGCTCAGTGTAAGACCCTGTCATATGTCACTTGGGGACAATTATTACATCGCTGGTCGACAAATTACTCCATCGGGCGACGATTATTTCGTCACCGGGTGACAATTATTACATCACTGGTCGACAGTTATTACGTCACCGGGTGACAACTCCATATGGCCGGGTGACAGTTATTACAGCACTGGTCGACACTTATTACGTCACCGGGTGACATTATTACATCACCGGTCGACGGTTAATACATCACCGGTCGACAGTTATTACGTCACCGGGTGACAATTCCGTATGGCCGAGTCTTCCACTGTGTGGTCCGTTTCCTGGCACGCATTAGCCGGCCAGATTTAGCCACAAGGGCGGGACTCAGAATGTAGAGCAAGGTACCGCACCAACAGCACTGTTGTCTGTTGTAACTGACCAGTGACTACTTAGTACTCAAATGTTGTTTGTTAGTGGGGGGGGGGGGGGATAAGTTTGTATAGTTGTTTCTCGCCCCAAATGTGGAGAAGAAATAAGAGTAGTAGTAGCGGTTTTACGTGGTCAGAGTTTGTGTGGTGGAGTGTTTGACCGTGTAGACAGACTGTGTGAAGCAGTGGACGGATCAGGAGAGCGGTGATGATGTGAACCTTTTGTCTAATTCTCACTTCACAGGTGCTAAATCTAGTGAATCTGGTAAGGCAATGAACAGTTTGTTGGAGAGAAATGCAAGTGGTTTTGGGTTTATTTATTTTTTTTGTGGTTCTTGTAGGATGTGTGAATTGTTTTGTTTTTTTGGGTGACGGGAGGTGGCTGCTGGTTGCTGCTCACAAACGGTCCTGGACATTCCTCAGATAGAAGGGAGGGTTCCCCTGTGTGTTTATGACCAAAACTGAGGTCGATAGTGCCTGCCGTAAAACACCAACTGAAGTTAAAATTCTCGGTGGCTTTTTTGTTGTTGTTGCTCGGATGACCAAGAGATTCTGTTGTTACTATTGATTTTACAGCTCAAATGCCAAAGAGATTCTGTTGTTACTATTGATTTTACAGCTCAAATGCCAAAGAGAATCAATTGTTACTGTTATTTTCACAGTTCAAATATCAAAGAGACTCAATTGTTACTGGTTTTTTTCACATATCAAATATCAAAGACTCAATTGTTACTGTTATTTTCACGGATCAAATATCAAAGAGCATTGTTTGGTTGGTTTTTTTTTTTTG